ACTCACGGTGAGTAGGGGTGGGCGCGGGGGGCGATGGAGCGCTGGGCCCCGCCCGGGAGCACCTCCTGCGGTGACATCATCACGAAAAACTGCCCTGAGAGCCAAAAATGGACAGGTGAGACCCAAATTGTTACAGGCGAGAGGCAAAAATGGACAGGTGAGGGCCAAAAATGGACAGGTGAGAGCCAAAAACCTGCACAGGTGTCCCCAAACTCCGTCCAGGTGACCCCAGACCCATCCAGGTAACCCTGAACACATCGAGGTGAGTCCCAAACCAGCACAGGTGACCCCAAACCCATCCAGGTGACCCCAAACCCATCCAGGTGACCCCAAACCCCATCCAAGTGAGTCCCAATCCCCTCCAGGTGACCCCAAACTCCATCCAGGTGACCTCAAACGCCATCCAGGTAACCCCAAACCCCATCCAAGTGACCCTCAAACCCATCCAGGTGACCCCAAACCTGCACAGGTGACCCCAAACCCCATCCAGGTGACCCCAAACCCCATCCAGGTGACCCCAACCGCATCCAGATGTCCCTACACCCCATTCAGGTGACCCCAAACCTGCACACGTGACCCTCAAACCCCATCCAGGTGTCCCCAAACCCCATCCAGATGTCCCCAAACCCCATCCAGGTGACCCTCAAACCCATCCAGGTGCCGCCGAGCCCCCTCCAGGTGACCCCAAACCTGCACAGGTGACCCCGAGCCCCATCCAGGTGACGCCGAGCCCCCTCCAGGTGACCCCAAACCTGCACAGGTGACCCCAACCCCATCCAGATGACCCCAACCCCATCCAGATGTCCCCAAACCCCATCCAGGTGACCCCAAACCCCATCCAGGTGATCCCAAACCTGCACACGTGACCCCAAACCCCATCCAGGTGACCCCACACCTGCACAGGTGACCCCAAACCCCATTCAGGTGACCCCAAACCTGCACACGTGACCCCAAACCCTATCCAGGTAACCCCACACCTGCACAGGTGACCCCAAACCCCATCCAGGTGACCCCACACCTGCACACGTGACCCCAAACCCCATCCAGGTGACCCCACACCTGCACATGTGACCCCAAGCCCTATCCAGGTGACCCCAAACCCCATCCAGGTGACCCCAAACCCATCCATGTGACCCCAAACCCCATCCAGGTGACCCCACACCTGCACAGGTGACCCCAAACCCCATCCAGGTGTCCCCAAACCCCATCCAGGTAACCCCACACCTGCACAGGTGACCCCTAAACCAGTCCAGGTGTGTCCCCCTCACCTGTGGGCGTGGGCTGTCCCAGCAGCGCCTCGGAGCTCTGCGTGGTGACCACGGCGGTGGCCGCGGTGGCCGCGGTGGCGGTGGCGCCGTCGGCCACGCCCGTGGCAGGGAAATAGGTGTAGTGGGTCTCGGTGGGCGCCGCCTCCGTCTCCACCGCGTCCTCGCTCGTGAACGCGCCCTGGATCACCGCCTGCGGGGACAGGGACAGGTGAGACAGGGACAGGGACAGGTGAGACATGGGGACAGGGACAGGTGAGAAACAGGAACATGCCCTGGATCACCGCC